ATGCAGGAGTAGAGGGCTGGGTTAGGCTGGAGCTGGGGTCCCTGAGGCTCACTGTGGAGCAGGAGACTACACAGCACCTTCCTCTCTGAGGTAGATAAGGCAGTGATTGTGCAGCATTGACTAATTCTTGGAGGACCTGACATTTGGCATCTTAAGTATGCCAATGAATGAGCAGTGACAGGCACAAATCCCCACAATCAAGCAGTTTGCATTTCGACCAAAGGAAATAGAAAATGAAGTAAATGAAGAGTTTGGGCCATTGGAAGATGATGACAGCTCTGAAGCAAAATACTGCAGGAATAAATGAACGCGGGGTCAAAGACAGGCTGCAGTACCAAACAGGGTGCTGAAAAGGTGGAGGTGGGAAGTACTCCAAGTGGACAGGGAAGGAGAAGCCAGTACGAAGGCCTGGAGCCTGCAGCTGGTCTGGGGTGGTCAGGTCCAAGAGCAGGCCAGTGTGACCAAAGTTCAGTGAGCAAGGGAAAGAGTCAAGCCCACAGGGGACCTTGGAGATCACTGCAAGGACTTCAGCTGTTATTGACCATGCCCTTCTCACCTTCTTCCTCCTACACTAACTTTTTTCTTTCCCTTAACACCCTAAATAATGCAGAAAGAAAAATTTTCAGCAGATTAATAGGTTGATCTGTAGCTAGCAGATCATTGCAATGGGAAGACATGTGCTACAGTGAACTGTGGACCTATTCAAAGAGGTTAAGATGAAGGCCAAAAGAAGGAGGACCACATAAGATGTTTTGAAAGAATAATCCTTGGTCATGAGTCAATGTCTTATTCATTTTTTCATTACTGGAACAAAACATCCAGTGCCCCAACTTTAAAGGAGGAGAGGTTTCTTTGGTTTCCAGTTTCCAGTAGGTGCAGTCCAAAGTCAGGTGGTTCTAAGGCAGCAACACAGGGTGGAAGAACCTCAGAAGAGGACACCTGCTCATCCCATGGCAGCCAGAAAGCAAAGACAGAGGGAAGAGCCAGAACAATACACCCTTGGAAGTCACACCCTACATGACTCACTCCAACCACACCCCACTTCCTAACAGCACATTCAGCTGTGTAACTTGTCAATGGACTAATCCACTGATGAGTATGGCACCCCCATCATCCACTCACTTTCCAAAAGTCCCATGTCTGAACCCATGAGGCTTTTGTGGAACATTCTAGATCTAAACCATGACATTCAGTAACAAGAGTGGCACCAGGCAAAGGCGAAAGACACAGGCCTGCAAGGGAAGACAGCCTTGTGGAAGTGCTCTTAGTGTAAGGTTGCAGTGGCCACTGTGTAAGGTTGTGGTTCTGGCAAGATCTTTCGTAAATATTTCTGGTTATTAGGCATATATGTATGAGATCCTCTCTTTCATAACTTCTCACCTTTACTTGTTGTTATTTTTGTTAGGGCTTGACACAAGTGACTACATTTTCATTCTGACAGCTTTCATATTCCCTACACATTCTACAAACTTGTCTTGAATTTCTAGTTTTAGTTTGGTTTTCATTAGTAGGGATTGAACTCAAAGCCTTTTATGTGCTAAGCAAGTGCTCTACTACTGAGCTATAGCCCCTTTCACAATTTTACATTGACACAGGATCTCATATTCCTCACACTGGCCTTAAACTTTCAATCCTCCTGCCTCAGCCGCCTGAGTATCTGGGATTACAGACAGTCCACCCCTTTTGCAATTACATTTTGTTATTTTTTTAAAACTCCCATCTTTACACTAAGTTTCCCTCTGCTAGTTCTCACATCGATGTTCCCATGATGAGCACAGTTTACAGGTTCTCCTTCATGGTCTTCTTCAGTATCTTGACCCTTCCTTCTCACCACTTCTAACCATATGCTACATCCATCTTTGTTTATTATACTTTATTGGGCCTACCAGGTGTTTCAGTAATTATTTAGTCTTCTGTTAAAGATGTTTATATTGGAGCTATCACTGACATCAATCCTCTTATGACTTAGGAGAATGCCAGAATATAAATTCTGAAAAGAAGCTAATTTCAAATTCTATTTCTTATTTTACCCACAATAAAAATAAGTCAAAGTCATTTTTCTCAAGTTCAAGTGATATAAAAGACAACTTACAAGAAGAAATTCCTCTAAAATTTCTTAGTTGAAGAAAGTTATTTTAAGGTAATACTTATAAAATATATCTAGACATAACTGAGATATAAACATTTGAAGCTTAAATAAGTAAAACACCAAATAAAACTTATAAATTAAATATAAATATAAATTAAAATACAAAACCAAAGTAAACTATGGATTTAATTAATTTGGCAGATGCTGTCATTTTAGGGACCCTCAACAGAGCCTTGACTGACTGATGCAGACCCTTCTGCCCGATGGCTGCCTCCTGGGCTGTGTGCTGACTCCAGTTTCCCTGTGGATGTTCCCCTTGGACCCTTAGTCCTGACTGTGTACTGTCCCTTGCTGGCAATGCACACCTTGCATTCAATCAGCCTCTGTTTCTTTCTCATTCATTTCAAAAAATGAAACTGTGACTGCTTGCTCTCAGAGAGGTCTGAAGTAATCATAAATGACCATAAGCTGGATTTGCATAGCAGGTTTTTGTTGCACTGCAGCCAATCAAATGATGGATCCAGGACACATTTTTACTAATTTTTCAGGTGATCATCAAAATAGCCACCCCGAAGTGGACACTATCTCAATCAGAACATGCCTATTTGAGCTCAGAGTTACAGTGCCTGGTCAGTTGGCTATAAGGCAGAAACAACATGGTGGAAAGGCTTAGTGTGGAAGAAAGCTGCTCGAATCATGACATGCAGATGGCAGAGAGAGAAGGAAGGAGCAAGCAATGAAAATATGCTCTTCCAGGTCATTCCCACAGTGACTCTCCTCTGTGAGTCCCACCTCCTAATAGCAAGTCAGCTACAGTGCCCCCATGATTTAATCACCTTCCAAAAGTCCAGTCTCTGAGCACATGAGAGTTTCAGGGTCATTCTTGCTCCAAACTGTAGTAGAACATGTACCTGCAAATTCTCTGCTGTAGAGGCACTCAGCCTAAGCATATCTCTCATATCAGGGATACAGTTTTCCTTGTCTACAATATCAGGCATCCCTGTGCCACTAATTTATTATGTTTTCAACTAAAATATTTGGCTCCAAATTTTCATTTCTTTTCTTCAAGAATAAATCTTTTGTACTATCTCAGTGAATATTTGTGAACCAGTTTCTCATAGTAGGAGTTGCTGACTGATACCAAAGACTAAAACTCCGTTTCAGCACTTTCCATGACCATGGAATTTCAGAATTGTAACTAACCCAGTCTATTAGCTGGGGCTCTCCAGAGAAACAGAATCAATAGGATATGTAAACAGAGATGTGCATAGGACAAAAATTATTAGGGGAATTGACAATTGAGAGGATAGAAGCCGAGACCCAGGAAACTGTGTAACTCAACCTGAAGGTAGAAACCTGAGAACTGTGGATGCAGAGGGCAGGGTGGCAAGGGCTGTAGTGAGTCCCACAGTCAGAGATCCAAGAACCAGGTACTCTGAGGGCTGGAAAAGATGAATGTTCCAGCTGCAGAAGAGAGAAAAAACTAAACCTCCACCCTGTTACTTCTATTCTGGCCCTAGGTACCCTGGATGGAGTGAGGGTGATCTTCTTTATTCAGTGTATCATCCAAACACTAGTTAATCTCTTGTAGACAGGCCTTCATAGACATACCCAGAAATAATGTTTTTAGCAGCCATCTGAGTATCACTTGGGTTAGTCAAGTTGACACATAAAGCCAGCCACCACACTCAAATTCTTCTTTAAAATATCTTGTAGAAAAATCTTACCTAGCCTCTATTTACAAACCTCCCATCACTGGCTTTATAAGACAATTTTCTGTTTTTCAATTGGTTTAAATCCTGCTTCCTAAAACAATGCACAACCCAAACTACTCTTGTAAAGGACACCTTCACCCATGTAAAGACAAGTTTTATCATCCCTCAGCCTGTCTTCCTCCAACACCCTCACTACCTCCAACTATTCTTGCATCACAATCCCAAGTAAAATAAGAAATGGCTCAGTGATTTCTTTGATATGTTCCGCATGCAATCCAGTTTCCTTAATAGAAACTTCAACTGAGATCCATAGGTCTTATCTCAAAGAAACAGGTTTTATATCAATTTTGTTTCCAGAGTTAATGTTGTAAATGACTGCAACCTAATACTGTGGAATAATTCTATTGAAAAGAAAGGAATGGAACACATTTTAACTGATACTAAGCATTTACCAATTTATAAACATATAAATTTAGGTACATATACACAATCATATGTATTATTTATTTGTTTATTCATTTATGTATTTATTTCATATGTAACTGAAGAAATAAAATCTGAAAGTCTGAACAGGTGAGGTTAGATTGGGTAGAACCAGAAGTGATGGGCAGCAAGATTGCCCTGTCCTAAGGTCCTTCCAGAAAAGACCTTCCCAAGTTTAACTGCAAGATCCCATGGGTCTTGATGCACACAGCCTTGTGAAAGAACCAAGTGAGGTTCCTAAACCTCAGCAAATCCTATAAAGACAGGGCATCTACCTGCTCTGTTCTCCATGCCAGAATCTTGATGAGCTCCCCAGGCCCTGGGGGCTGAGGAAACAGGAAAGCATAAATCAATGAAAACCTATAGTCAGCAGCTCTCTCACTCCTGCTCCAAACCCTGACTCTGTATTAGGGACCAGTGACAAAGGACCAGAAATGAGTGATAGATATCCTATGGCCCCACAAAGGTCATCACCAGGAGGGGAAAGAAGTTGGCCAGAATCATGTTCAGCCCTTTCCCAAAGAGTTGCAGGTGGATTGAGGTAGTAGCACCTGCTCTTGTGAAGGTCAGTCTTCTTTGTGGTTGGCAGACACATGTTTTCAGGCACACATTTGCATCCTCCCAAACATCAAGATTTGTCATTGATAGTCATAAGAATGTATCTTGCACAGAATGACAGTGATATTTTAGTGATTAATTCTTCTTTCCAACAGCTGGCTGTCCTGACTCCTTGATTAAAGAGCTCCATCACTTCAGGATTCTCGGAGAAAAACAGGTGAGTCAGCCTCTCAAAGGCCGCATCACAGTGTCATCAAAGATAGACACTAATGAGACAGTTTGGGCTCCCCCCAGGGAGGCTGAGTGAGTCTTTTGACCCACAGAACCCTGAAATGGGAAGAAAGCCATGCTGGAGATATGTGTGAGGACACTTTTCCTCTTCTATCCATCAGATCTGACAGGTTATTAATTGGTACATCTGCTATCTGCCAGAGCATTTCATCTCAAGACTCGAGCAGTAAGCAAGCACTGCATAGTGGCAGATGAGAAAACAAACAAATGCAGAGATGAATTATGCCTGAAGGATGTATAGTCATAGACATTCCTGATGTAATGTCTGTGGGTGGATGTGCAAGCTCTTTTCACCTGATTTTTGTACATGGTACATGTTAACTATATTTTACCACAGCCACTTTCTATATGGATGTGTACACATGACATGCATTGGATGACCCATTTAAAGTATAGATTATGTAAATGCTATGTTCTGCTCAGTAAGGAATGTCATATTTTAAATAGATGTGCAAAATAAATAATTTAGGGTGCTAAATATATGCATACATGTATGCATGCATATACTTCTGACTACTTAAAATATAACTAGCATTCCCTATCCATGAGTTCTACATCTGTAGATTCAACCAACAGCAGATTGAAAACATTTGGGGGGAAAAATCAAGAATACAATAAAATATAAAATTTTTAAAATGTGTTAAACATATACATAGCATTTATGTAGTATAAGGTATTATTAGTAATTTAGAGATGATTTAAAGCACAGGGAGGATAAGTGCTGGTTATATGCAAATACTGCACCATTTGATATAAGAAACTTGAGCTTCCTCAGATTGTATTATTCTCTGAAGTCGTAGAACCAGCCTCCCACCATGGGTACCAAGGGACAACGGTACGTCTCTTAACCCTTATATGGAATTATAAGTTCTGTATTGGTATACTAAAATAAAGTATCAAATAGTCAAGTTATCTCTTACATGCTTAAACTAAATAGTTGGCAACGTGTTTGTTGGCCTTCTTTATACTCCTGTTACTGATTTTTACTCCCAAAGATGATCTTTGCCAACTCTAATCACACAACATACAAATGGAGTTGTGTGGATCAGTTTTGTCTGTGTTTTAGGTGTGTGTGTTTTTGTTTGGTATGTGTGAGTGGCAAAGTATGATTACTCATCTCCAATACGGATTAAAACCAGAAAGGGTTGATTAGGGAAGATAAATACTAAATCATTTCTTCATCCTTGAATAAACAAATTATAGTATACCTTTTCTCATTTTGAACTTTCAAAAAGGAAGGCATAAATGTTTATTCAAATACCAGAGAAATCAATTTTCCTGCATTGCAAGTAAAAGTTGATAACTGAATCCTCAAACATATCTACTTATTAAAACACCTTCTGCTCATACCCATTTTTCAGTAGAAACCTGAGAGACTTCTTAAAGCAAACTTTATTGATCATTCCTCTGACATTTCTGTTCAGATAATGGACCATTCTCTTCTAATATGGACCGATATTTGCAAATTATTCCTGTATTTGTTTTCCAGTCACTAGATAATTAGTAGGGGAAGAAGCCAACTATAATCATCTCAATAGAACTGCATAAAAGTCAGACCACTTTGCACTCTCCTAGAAATTTGATCAAATAATAATCAATATTAATGTTACTCTTGATTGGTTAGAGCAGTATAATAAATCATAGCAAAATTGATCTCTATTTTCTAGAAAACCACATTTTATTTCTACTCATTCTACAGCTATTACTTAGCATCTACTATATGCTATATACATCATTATAAGGATGGAAGGTGGAAAAAAAATCTCCATCAGGCTTTCATTCTAGGAGAGGAAAACTATGTCATGTTATATAGACATAAATATGTTCAGTATTATGTTAGATGGTTATCACTGACATGAAAAAATGTACAACCAAAAGGAGGGGTAGTGAATATTAGGGAAAAAGGTAAAATTTTATATAAAGTGATTAGTGAAAGTCTCACCAAACAGGTGATACAAGAGTAAAGACTGAAAAATGTTAAGAAAAATACCATGGTGACATCTGGTAAAGGAGATGTCCAGAGAGAGGAACACACAGTCATAGAGGCTCTGAAGTGACCATGTGCTTGGCTTGTTCAAGTACTAAAGAGGCCAACATGACTGGAGGAGGCTGGTGAGGAAGCAAACCAAGATGAAGAGTTGTAAATATTACGTAGGAGTAGAAAGAGAGAGCCAGATTGTGTTGGTAGAGGTTGAAAATGGTGGGAAGAAATTGAGGCGGGTGTTGGTAATAAGAAACCAATAGACTTAAACATTTCTACAAGGAGAAGTGATACCTATTCCCCATTGCTCCTCATGTAGGAATAGAATGGCAAGTGAGCACTGGAATTTGCATCATAGGGGTCATTGGTGAACTTGACCATTGGTCAAGTGAGTCTGTCATTGCTAGACTGGCAAGGGTGATAGTCTGCCTGAAACAGGTTCATGTGAGAAGGGAGAAAAGGAATGGGAGACAGCAAATGTAGACAACTCTTAATTCTTTTGAGGAATTCAACTGTTAAAAAAAAAGCAAAGAATTTACTTGTCTAGAGTTGGAGATGTGGAATCAAAAATATTTACTGGTCTTGGAGAAAAGAGTGGGGAGCTCCCAGGTAACAGCAGCAAGTGCAGCATGTGTGGACACAGAAGTGTAGGAGTGGATGGTGAATCTCCATGAAGCCCTCTGCCACTTGTTTCTGTTTTCTCAGTGAAACAGGAAGGTAGGTCATCAGCTGAGAGTGAAGATGGGGAAAGAAATTTATAGAAAGAAATAATGATGAAATTGTCCTTTAGGAATATGGGAGAGTGAATAAACTTGGGAAATGGATAGATTTGTGGTGAGATCAATCAACTTAATGGTTTCCAGTCACATTCCACTTGTGGATGCAGATGCAGAAAGGGCAGAGCATTGGGGTTCAGCCATCAAAGTGTATCAGGAACAAAGGAGAAGAAAGAGGTGAGGGTATGGTGGTGGTTATAATGACTACATAATTAGATTTCAGCTAGGTAAGCAGAGACATGAGAAGAGAGAGGACAAGAAGTGGTAAGACCACTGTGTTAAAGATCCCAGTGGGTTCAGGAAATGTGTGGAGTTTGAGAAATAGAAGAAAATAACTAGAAATAAAGGTATTGGCCAAAGGATATGATATTCAAATTGGGGGTGTGGAAGGAGGTACGTGAACAGTGATGACAAGGTCAAGGAGACATCCAGGGATCCAGGATGGCTGACTTAGAATGGAGGAAAGGATGATTGCAGTTGAGGTTGCGCACTTGGTAAGCCAGGGTGCAGGAAGTATCATCCATATATCACTGAGCTCATCCAGAGCTGTCACTGGTGCAAACCTGGAGAGTTATAGTGAGACAAAAACTAAAGATTTTAGAACAGGAGAGCAGAAGGAAGGGGCATCCATAGCTGACTGTAAAAGGAGAAATAGAGGTCACTGTAGCCTGATGGTTAAAATTAAAAGCTAGAGGGTTTCAGAAGGAGACAAAGAAAACCATCTTCCCTGGGGGCACGAACAGCAATGCTTAGTGACACAGAGTGCAGCCACGACATATCTGAGGGAGCTGCAGGGGAGCCTTGTCCTCAGGTGCCAGCCAGCTTCAGTTTGGGAAGAATGTTAGAAAAATAAGAGGATAAGGGTGGCCGAGGATGGTGCAGCTGAAGGATATATTGGGTGAAAGGGATGTGCAGAGCCATATATGGGCCTGGGGTCATCCCAGAGAGATGGCACAAATGTCAGAAACTTCCTTGATTAATGACATAAATAGGACACATCAGTCAGGATATTTATATCCTGATGATACGTGACATGACCCAGTGACCTCAGGGAGATAGTGATGTGAGGCTCTGGAGTAGGGGTGGGCAGCTGCCCAAGAACTGGTGACAACATTCTCAGGCTGTCTTTGGGTGCTGGAGGCAACATATATTACTTGATAAAATAACATTTTAATATTAATGTATGTTACAATATCCTTGAACAAATCATTTTTTATCTCAATAACTTGGCTTTCCCTTTCATAAAAAAATGAGTGGTACTTAGCCGTCCTTTACAATAGTTGTAAATAAAGTGAGATGAAAATAATAAAATGCTTCTGATTTTAAGTACTTTTTACACCCCATCAATACATTGAAGTAGTAGCAACATAACAGACCTTAAAATAAGTATTAATGTTCACTTGAATTGATAAGACCTGTACAATACTGGTTAATTATTGAATCCATTGCTGAATGGCAGAGATGTATGCCAGCTAGCTTATTTCTTTATACAATATGTGATTTGTTTCTGTTTTCATTGATTTTAATAGATATTTGGTTTTTGATATTTGGATGAAAAATAAATCATGAATCACTATAAATCATTATCTTCTGAAGTAAATTGAAACTCCTTGGTATTTAAAATGATACATTGGTTTTACTTTCTTGACCCTTTTCTCTTATATGTCTATAACTCATATTCATAAAGCACTTTCACTGCCCAGCTGAACTACTTGTCAAGGATATGATACATTTTAGATAAGTAAAATCACTCCAAAGTTGTAGATTGCTGTATTAGTCACTTTTCCGTCATTGTGACAAAATACCTGATATCCACAACTTAAAGAAGTTTAATTTAGCTCATGGTTTCAGGGGGTTTTTAGTTCATAATCCCCCTGGCTCCAAGGCAGAAATGGCATGGTGGAAGGCCATGTGAGAGGAAAGCTGCTCACATAACAGCTGGGAAGCAAAGAGCAGGGAAGAGCCAAGGAGGGAGACATATCCTCCAAAGACATGCACCCAGTGTCCTGCCTCTTTCAACCAGGCTCCTCCTAGTCCTAACAGCACCTTTAGCTATGAACTCATTAATGGATAAATCTGATGAGTATAGCACCCTCATGATCCAGTTACCTTTCAAAACCTTCACCTCTGAATATATGATATTTGGGGGGGACATCCTAAATCTAAGCC